TGAATTCTCTCTCTCTCTCTCTCTCTCTCTCTCTCTCTCTCTCTCTCTGCATATAGAAAAAGATTGATAAAAACTTACGAACCAGAATTGCTATAGTTGGCTAGTTTGCCCATATACACATCTCTATCGTTTGTTCGTTGTTTGGTTCGTCGGTTGGTTGTTGCAATTGTTTCGTCATTTGATGATGACATATATTGGAACAAAGTGATCATCGTTTTTTCTGTACTATCACCACCCCCTCTATCTTTCCGACTATATCGACTCTATGGGTTTCTGTTTTGTATTAGATTTTTTTCTTTTTTTGATTTGCTTGGAAATTCAATTACATTTTTTGGTTTGGTTTTTGGTACATGGTCGAGAAATGAATGCTGCAGTCAAACAATGACATTTTACTACTACAGAATATTGGAAAAAACATGAAGAGAGAGAGAGAATTCACAACTATCATTATCATCGTCATTGGCTACTACTGAGAGATGGGTACGCGAAGAATAAACGATGGAAAAAAGAAAATCGGGAAAAAACTTAACCGAACTGAAAACCGTTTTTTTCGACTAAAAAAACCGTTTATTTGATGATAATAATCAAAACCCAAAAAAACTAGACTAGACTAGATAGATAAGACATTTGCATAGGAAAAACCAGCCAAAAACCAAAGTTTTTTTACCAGTTCGTAAATCGTTTCGCTATAAATTCGGTCAGTCGATTTTCGTTTTGATTCGAAAAACGTATTGCCAACATTTTTGGGTTATTTAATGATTATCATCATTTGAAAAAAAACACTACCACCCACCCACCAAACATGACCAAACATTACAGAAATTGTAACGAAAATCATTATTCGATTATTATGTTGATGATGATGATGATTATGATGTTTGATTGTTAGATATTTGGTTTGTCTTCACTTTCTCTCTCTCTTTCACTGACTACCATCACTATGTGATTAGTGAATTGAATGACCAATTATTATCTGATTCTGGTTCATATCTCTCTCTCTCTCTCTCTCTCTCTCTCTCTTTATCTCTTTTGTTAACTTTTTGTGTTGCTGCTTGGTTTGGTTTAGTTTTGGTCGATGGTAGTTTTTTGAAAATCACTGGGTGTTACTTTGTTTTTCTGAGGGATCATTATCTGTTTTTCGTTTCGTTTGTTTGAATAACCATATTACATCAGCAGAAGCAGTTGGAAACGTGTTTCATTTTTCTATCTTGTTCTGCTTAGTTGAATTTTTGAAGCGAAGAAAAAATCCATTTTTTTCTGGGCTATAATAAATGACAAAATCAAAAAGAGATGAACGAAACGAAAAAAAATGTAGATTGTTTCAATAATCGATTAATCGATTATTATTATTTTTAATTATTCGTTCATCTCTCCCTTTCAATTTCAAATTCGATAATTATCTGTTTTGTTGTTGACAAAATCGAAACAACCAAACAGCCAAAAAAAAAAAAATCATTTTGATTATCCATAATTTTGGATTTTTCCTTTTTCCAAAAATTTCTGTTCGACAATTGTCATTTATCATCATTTTTCCTTCATCCAAATGTTGTTGTTTTTCATTGTTTTCGTGAATTGAATATTTTATTTTATTCATTCATTTTCCCGTTGATTCTTGTTTCATTATTCTTGTTTTTCTTGAATGGTTTTCCTGATAACATTTCTTAATTCCGACACAATGATCCACCAAGCAAAAGAAAGAAATTCAAAAAAACAGAAGAATTTTTTTTCCATTCATAAAAGAATAAAGCAAAAAGAATTCAGTTTGGCAGGAATATTCTTCTGTTTATAATGATTTTTTGTTTTCGTTGGAAAATGAAATTCTGAAAGGAAACATTGCGAGAAAAATATGAATTTTTCATTCGGAGAATTGAAAACGTCTTAAATGTGTATCTGTTTGTGTTTGTGTGTGTAAATAAAACTTCTTTGGCGCTAAAATTGAAAGACAAACAAACAAACAAACAAACAAACGAAGAAGATTTCTCACTCAATTCGATAAGAAGCTTAGTGAATATTGTTGTTTTCGTTGTTGTTGTCAATATTATTCAATAATAACAATTTCTTTTCAACCCCGATAGTAATAGGATTCTTTTCGTTTGTTTATATTCCCGAAGAAAACCCAAACTAAACTTAACTGAACCGGAAAAAAAATTTCGGTTAAGAATCGATAAATAGAAAAAACCTTGAAAATGATTCCTTTACCTTTGTTTACTTCGATTCTTTCTGTAAAGTTTCCCTGCTTTCAAAATGATACTTTATTTCAATTTCCGCTTATTTTTCTTTTTCGCTGAAAAATTTCCGCTTATTTTTTCGGGTTTTTTTTTCTCTGTTGATTTTTCATTTTTGTTTGTTTGTTTTGTTTATTAATAATTTTTTCTTTTTCATTTTTTGTTTCGTTTTTTTTCATCCATATCCCTTGTTCCACATAATGTTTTTTTTCTGTTTTGTTTTTTTTTCGCTATTTTTGTTTGGCTATTTTTGTCCATTGTTTTGCGCCAAAATTTTTTGCGCAACTTTTTTCACCCAAAATTCCCCGAAAAAAAAAAGATTTGAAAAAACATTTTCCATTAGAACCAAAATCGGTTCGAATTGCACTGAATGATGTTCAGGGTAAATCATCATCATTGACCGTACAATTTCATTGTCAACCACCGATTGGCCGTCCAAAACCGATTGTATTCTGGATGCGCAATGATGTTATCATTCTGGAAAGTGAACACGGTGAACATTCAACGTCTGCATCCTTGCCATCCTCAACGATAAAATCTAGTCAAGATTTTTTAACGGAAAAATTTCATCGAAGAAAATCGAAAAATCATAAAAAAATTGTGATAACCAAATCGAATAAAACCATTAACGTTGGTGGTGGTGGTCATCGTAAACGAATGGCTGAATCTGTAAATAACGATAATGAAGACGATGATGATGAAGATGAAGATTACGAAGACGATGATGAAGTACTGGAATTTGATGCATCCAAACAGCCGGAAAAAGAAATTGGACACGATGATGATGAAGAAGATGACCACGATGATTCATCATTATTACCCGATCATTTTGATTTAGCATCTTCGTTCAGAAATGTAAATAATAATAATAATAATAACGGTGTTGGTGGTAACGGTGGTGTTAATAGAAACATTCCAATAAATTATCATATGGCAAATGATTATACACTTGTTATAAAAAATATAACCGAAAATGATCAAGCTAATTATACATGTGGTGTTTATAATTATGCTGGTGTTAGATTTACAAGGCCAGCAATGCTTACAGTATTTGGTAAATGTTTATTTTTTTTGAAAATCTACTTTTTTATCAACTTTTTTTCATCCCAAAAATTCAACCCCGAAGTAGTTTTGCGGGAAATTCTAACTTTTAAAAAAAATCTAACATTTTCAAAGGAAAAACATTCCCATTTTAAATTAACCCTTTACTTTCATCGAAAAATTCATTAGTTTTTTCCGCAATTTCTGAATTTTCTTTTCCAATTTTTCCATAGTAAATGGTGAATGGTCAAATTGGGGTAGTTGGTCACCATGTCAACTATCTAATGGTCTATTAACACAAGGAATAAAATGTGGTATCGGTACCCAGAAACGTATACGTCATTGTAGTAATCCAACACCGGTTAATAATGGACAATTTTGTCCAGGTGAATCAATACAAATTACTGAATGTACTATACTTTGTCCACCAATCGATGGTTTTTGGTCACCATGGTCACAATGGTCAATTTGTTCACATGATTGTACACAGGTAACTAAATTCCAAAAAAAATTTTAACTAAATTATTTGACTAATTTTTTTTAACTAAATCTTTTTTCCCATAAAAGATACGAAGAAGAATATGTAATAATCCATTACCACAATCAGGTGGACATGATTGTTTTGGTCAGGATTTTATCCTTAAAAATTGTACCGGTGGTCTTTGTCGTAAAATTTTTGGTAAGTTTCAACCCCTCAAAAGAAAAACATCCAAACTACCAAATATCCAAACAACCAAACCAAACCAAATCTATTCGATGCTTACATTTTTCTAACTGATAAACATCCATAGATGATAATAAAATCTCTGATGAGTCATTCACAGTAGTGATGACAATGATAAGCAAAAACTGACTATCATCGTCGAAATCATCATTCAAAATCATTCATCCGTTCCATTCCTATACAGCACAGTTTCTACAGTGCAGTGTAGTTTGTGAAAAGTTGGGATGTTTTTTTCCTGTTTCGTTTCGTTTCGTTTCCCTTATTTCATCATCCATAAAAGGCAAAAAACCCCATGTATCATGTGCAATGATTTTCCATTAAGTTTTTTGTAAGTCATTTTCATTACTTCAGTTGACTTTTATTCATTCATTTATTCTGATGATGATAATGGTGGTGGTGACCTCTTCCTCCCCCGCAAGAGCACACAGGGTTTATATATTTTGAGAACAAAAGAATGAAATTTCTGAAGAGGATTTTTTTTTGTCTGTTGTTTGGGAGAAAGAAACTGAAATTGTCGGAAGCCAAATCATCATCATCATCATCATCTTTGTTAGCCATTTGAATGTCATTTCCGGCTTTCTCTCTCTCTCTCTCTCTTTCATTGAAATTACACCGAATTTCCGATTTATTCCGGTGGATTCTTCTTGGATTCTCTTCCCCCCTTGATGATTTCTATCTTGCTTTTCGGTCAAACTTTTTTTCATTTTTCATTCAGAATTCATGTTTTTTGGTCCAATAATTTCACAGATTGACAGATTGATTGTATGAAAAATCCAAAATTATGGAATGAAAATTTGGATTTTTTGGTTTTTTTTATTGAATAAAACCAAAAAGAAAAGAGAAGAGAGAAAATTTCTCGGAAAGAATCCATTTTTCTTCAACTGAAAAATTCAAACGCCATTTTTTTAAATCAAACGTTTTACAGTAAAGAGAGAAGTTGCTAAGTGAAAACAACCCAAATAGGAAATCCATTAGTTTTGGATCGTTAAAATACAGTCGACAAACCGAAAGGGAGAGAGAGAGAGAGAGAGAGAGAGCTGTCATTCCATTTTCATCAGTATCATCATCATCATCAAATGAAAAAATTCAATTTTTATAAACGCGCAAATCTCGTGCGCGCACACAGCTATTCATCTCATTTTACTATGCAAAAAAGATATATTCATAGCCAAGAATATTATTATTATTATTTACAGAATCAGAATCACAGAATCCATTGTGTGTAGTATAGAGCAGAATTGAATCAAATGGTAAAGTTGTTGATCGACCAACAAAAAAAAAAGTAAATTGGGATGTTTGTTTCAAACAAAATCATCATCATAAGTAGTCCTGATGATGATAAGTGTAATGACCGAGAATATTCTTGAATGAATTTCATCACATACCCACACACCAACATCATCACATGACATGGCCACCATCAACAACAACAACAAAAAAACTACAACCATAATAGATATTGATAAAAAGAGAATATTCTTGCTTCAAAATTCTCTCTCTTCAAACAACAAAGGGAGAAACAAGAAAAACGATTAAATAAAGTTGTTTTGTTTTTTGTTCTTTGGATTCATCCAAAAAATCTGAATCCATTTGAAAATGTAATGTCTACCATTATTACATCGCATAACATCACCCATCATTGTTTATTATTGTCCGTTTTGGTTTGTTTTCAGAGACTTGTCATCAGCTTTGATGATGGAAGATGGAAAAACCGATTTTTTTTCCTATGAAACAATTTGACTTGTCATCGTCATCATCATCATTGTCTTTTATGACATTTTCAAACCAAAAACGAAACGAAAAAAGCGAAGCGAAACGAGAAAACTATAATTCTTTTCGGATCATAAAGATGTTTATGTGTTTTATGTGAATGTAACACGCGTTTTCATATATAAATATGATGTTACGACATACATGTTACGACAGCAAAATAGATAGAATAGAATTCAATTAAAGAAATTGAAAAAAAAAATTTTCTATTTTGACGATTGGTTTTGGTTTGTTTTTCCTGATTGCTTGTTTCTTCTTCTGTTTTAATTTCATTTCATTTCATTATTATCATTGTCTGTGTGTGTGTGCAAGAGAGAGAGAGAGAGAGAGAGAGAGAGAGAGAGAGAGAGAGATTTACGATATTATTATCATTCATCAGCTTGCTGATGATGATTCATCCACAATTGATTCAAACAAACTTTCAAAAAAATTTTATTATCATCCAATAAAGATAGCAAGGAAAAAATGATGCAAATGAACCAGAAGAATTTGTTTCCAGTTCCAATTTAATCATTGATAAGATTTTTTACTGGTCGCAAACAACAAAATCACTATTTTTGGGTTGTTTTTTTATTTATTTTTGGCTGTTTTTACGACCATTTTGTCATGTGATTCATACAGTTTTTGTCGAGAAAACATTTACAATCGAACAATTTTTTATTATCCTACCAAGATGTTTATCAAATTGTCAATTTTGACTTGAATTTCTTGTTGATTGAAAATAGAGGGAAAAAAATCCCAAAGAAAAAAATCATTTTGTCACATGTTTTGATAATAAAAATCTTTCATCAGAAAATCATTTGGATTTTTTTTATTTTATGTTTTTCCACAAATGTTAATCAATCTTAATCGATCGAATGTTGATTTAATGTTTTGCTTGATTCTGTTTGATTTTATTAGAGATTCTTTGAATGTTGTTTGCGATTGTTAAACAACATTCATCATTCTTTATTCAATAAAATTCTCTCTCTCTTTCTCTCGTCCAATTTGAGATTCTAATTTCTCTTTTTCAACGATTTTCGGGGAAAAACCAAACCAAAATCAAAACAAAATGGAAGAAATTCGCCAAATCAAGTCAAAACATTGATTTTCTGACTTGATTTTTTTTTTGTTGAACGATACGCTCAATCAAGCTTGTCATCATCGTCATCGTCATAATGTTTTTTTTTCTTTATTTGGTTTTGGTTATCATCAAACATCGTTTCAATTCTTCTTTTTTAGATAAAGATGATAAAGATAATGAAATTAAAGCAATCTACATTTGAACAACAAATTTTCAGCCCGATAAAACGATTCGGGAAAAAAAAGAGAATATCGTAAATCGAGAGAGAGAGAGAGAGAGAGGGAAGAGAATATTCTGTATTGTAGTCGATTATTCATTCATTCATTCGTTGTGTGTGTAGCAAATTCAACCGAATCAAACTGAATTTATTGGTTTGATGTAATTCAAAAAAAGGAAAATTGACAATTTTCATTTTGCTATTCGATGACGAAGATAATCAAATTAACTTTTTCTCGTTTTGTTTTGTTTTGTTTGATGGTCGTCTCTTTTTCCGAATTTCGATTCGTATTTTCAATTGATAATACAGTCTTTCTTTTTTGGTATTTCGGTTCGGTGATTATATTTTGATGGATTGAAAATTGTTTTTTGTTTTCGTTCAAGCAAGATTGTTTTATATTAATAGAATCGATTTTTGGTTGAACAATAACTTTGTTGTTGTTGTTGATGATGTTGACAATCAAAATTGAAGAATTTTCTGAAATTTTTTTTCAAAAATAAAGTTATTTTTGGTTCTCAATTAAATAACCATATCGAATTTCTTCGTCTCTTAGTCTTTGTCTATTTCGGCACACACAAATGATGAGATAATAATTGTCAGAAGGAAACCAAGAAAACAAAGAATCGCAGAACACAGAAACACAGAATATAAAATCGAAAGAATTCAAAAAAAAAGAATCCTTTCATTCATTCCAAAACAAACCAACAACAACATTGATTTATTATTTTATTTTTTTTACAAAAAAAATTTTAAAAACTATTCACTTATCCAAGTGTAGTAGTGCTACTGTGTTAACAAAGAATGAATGAAACAAAAAACGATTATTCTTTTATTATTACACGATGATGATGATGATGATGATGGACACATGAAATCTCGGGGAGAGAGAGAGAGAGAGAGAGAGAGAGAGAGAGAGAGAGAGAGGGAAGAGAATATTCTGTATTGTAGTC